CAGCTTTCTTTTTCTGGTATCCTTTTTCTTTTTTAAACATAAAGAACATGTTTACTTTTCAGGCTGAGTTTGTTCTTCAGTATATAAATGGTGTTTAATTGCCCAATTTTTAGCCTGATGTTCTTAATCCACGTGTTCTTGTATGCGGGCGTTTACTGTTAGTATTACTTTGCGTTTCTGTTTTTCTCAGAAAAATAAGAAAACATAAGTATGTAACTTGGTAGAAAGTCATAACGTGTTTAATTCCAAATGCTTTATTTGACTGGGCTACACTGGCGCTCAAATTCTGAAACATCAGGCACGGGGAGAAGTAATAGAAAAAACGAGATGGAGGCCAGCACAAGTAGGAAGTCTGAACTTACATGAATTGACTTCCAAAGTCGTGCATCGGCTTGAATGTATTTATTTAATATTGATAGCGCTATTCATAAATGATGGAGACTGTTTTGCCAAACAAACGAAACTGCTGGATAACTCCTTGCGTTGAAATCTCAACGTGATCAAATAAGATACAACCCATAGTAAGTTTATGCAAGTCTACACAAGTGGGTGTCTATCAGAAAACAGGTCATGTTTAATCACAAATTTTCTTAAAATCGCAATTGATAATGCCCTTTCACCACGAAAATACATGTGAAAACTACTGAAACTACTACGTACTGTCACTAAAGTGGCTCACCAAAGAAACATTTTCAATTTCTTTTGCAATGCCAGCTATGCTTGAGCTACAGGCTTCTGTACCCGTTATCTTGGTATCCGGAACAATGGCCGTCCTGCAGTCACGACAAATTCCTACACACACAGAAAAATGATAAATTGTAATCGAACTGTTCGTAAAGTAAAACTAATTTATCAATACTAATGGCTCAGTCAATTCCAAGCCCGCTCATCCCCCGGGGCATTTGTCTTTTGATTTTGAAAATGTGGAAAATGCCCTACGGTGAGGCAAGCTCACGCATACAAGTAACCATTCCCAAATAAATGTAATTTCATTAGAACGACTGGAGCCTGCAACAGCTTCAATCGCTTTTTAACATCTAAA